CAGCAGAGGAGGAGAGCAAAAGGTCCGGTCAGGCTCAGAGAGAAGCTGAGGACGAGAGGCGTCAGGCGGAGACGGAGAGGAAGGAGAAGACGGCCGAGTGTCTCAGCTGGAGAGAGAAGCACAACAAGTTGGCCAACGTCCTTCAAACTCAGGACGACTTGAGAGCCCAGAGACAGAACAAAACGGTATGAGAGCTCCACACAGACACAGCGTCAGACATATTATTACTGACCCGTTAGATAAAACGTGAAATAAATGCTAAATTAAGACGTTAGGAAGAGTTCACAGTTTGTTCCATCTCACCTGCTGATGTTTGTAACTCCTTCAGAGTGGTCATGGATGTCTTGGTGGCATCGCTCACCATTTTTCTTCTTGCAGACACTCAGTTAGTAAAGACAACCTGCTTTTAAATATTGTTTAATATCCCATATTATATTCCTCCCATTTATTGATGATGGATTTAACAAACCTCCTGGGAATGTTTTGAGCCTTGGAAATCATGTATCCATACAGACTTGTACTTTTTACTATTAAAATAGAATATATACATACATAGAACATGTCATTTCTTTGTAGAAATTTGATTTCACTTTGCCATTAAAGAGTTTTTTTTTATTTTATTTATTAATTTGTCAGAAAGGCTAACTGATTTTAATAGGGGTAACATAATTTTTAGACATTTTTTGCTGTTATATAATCTGGCTTTTTGTTAATATTTAGGAGAAAACACACAAAAAAAAGTTGCTTTTAAACATTTTGTTTGTTGTTTTTGAATTACATTTAATTCTAATTAAACCAAATGAAGTCAGAATAGAACATGGACACTGGGGTAAATGTTTGGGATAAACAATTTCAAGTTCAAGTAGGTTTTATTGTCATTTGCATCACATGTGGTACATGAGGTGGAACGAAATTGTGTACACAGGGTCCCAGTTACATCCGATGGATGAAATGAAAAGAATGAAACCAAAGTCGGCCTTTGTCAGAACAAAATGGAAGAGCTCCCATAAAATGCCATTGTTTTATGATTTGCACACACATCTTTGTTTTTATTTAAATGTTTTAACAATTATTTTAACAAACAGATTTGTTCATGTTTTAATTATCCATTGTTTTTTTTGTTTTCTTTCTAAAAACAGTGTCAAACTAACATCAAGAGTTACTTTCTGTGCATGACCGAAAGTGATCAGCGGATTAAAATCCTGAAAAATCCTGATGGCACTTTGAGAAATTTTATGGTAAGACCAACTTTTAGCCAAAGATGTAACGTTTACAGATATAAATGACTGTGACTTTCATACATGTTGCGTAATTTAACACAGGAGGGCGATCCTGCGTACATCACCACCCCAGACTCCAGCTCTGAGGAGCCTGAGAGGAGTTCATCCAGGTGAACAACGGCAGGAGTCCCGGGCACAATGATCACGTATTAACTTTAATATAATCAATGTATCCCCGTTTTCAGGACCATGTTTAGGGTTTCTGCCCCCCACACAGCGAGGGATCTGGGTCCAAGTCACTTTGATGAGCTGCCTGCCTTTGGGGGAGAGCGACCAAACTCTGGAGCTTCGTGCCGAAGCAGGAGGGTGATCGATTACTTCTGGATCCCAACAGATCAAGAGGGATGATCCATTCCACTCAGTCAGACGGACAATGTAACACATCAGGTGTTCTATTAGTTACACACACAATGTTTCATAAGCTGACCCCCCTGACCTGTGTGGAGAGTCCCTTGATCTTAATTACCATAATTTCTAGACTATTGAGCGCACCTGAATATAAGCCACGCCCACAAAAGAAAAAGCAAAAAGTACATATATTTAGGCCGCACTTGTGTATAAACCAACAGGTCTCTCTTGTAAACGAGACCTGGAGGCTCAGTGGGAACGAACCTGTATAAATAAAGGTTGAATGAATAAGCCGCAGATGTCCATGTTGTAACTTGAGATATTTGATATGAGGGGAGGAGAGAACGAGGAGTGGACCAATCAAGTTTTTATTGGTCCACTGTGACATGTTTGGTAATTTCATTGGACAGTTTTTTTTTTTTTAATCTTTTATTTATAAAGGTAGTCTCACTGAGCCACGAGGACCCAACCCCGAAGAGCGACGTGTACTGGGCAGCTATGTGAGCACCCGGCTGTGACGAAGCTAAATGTTTTGGTGGCATGAAGCTCGTTAGCCCATCAAAACAAAAACAAAAAAATCCATAAATTAGCCGCAGCTTTGTATAAACCACGGGGTTCGTAGCATGTGAAAAAAAGTTGCGGCTTATAGTCCGGAAATTACGGTATGTCTCTTACTTACTGGTAACCTGTAGTACTTAAAGGTGTTGATTCTGACGGCTATCAGAACAGGTCAATATATAAATACTGAGATCAATCATTCGACACTTAAGAGTGCCCACAGGTCAGAGCTCGAAGTGGACTGGTATTCTGGTATTTCCATTTTTAGCGTGCCATCACAGCAGGAAGTTCTTCTTCTTGGGTCAAATGTGGGGGATCAGTTGAAGCACGACACACGAGGCACGATGACTGATTAAAAGTTAAGGAGAAGCCAGTGTAAGGAATCTGATCTGCAAGTTTAAAAGGTAATTTAAAAAAATTAGTCCACCCCAATTATAAGTAACTCATGACTTCTACAGAACTAATTTTATTTTATGTATTTGATGCAATAAAAAGGTTAAATAGCAACAGAATATAATGTCTGCTCTTGTTTAGCCTTTAAATCCTTAAGCCTCAACCCTGTGGGTTTCTAACCCGTAACCCCAGGTCCCAGAGCAGCATTAGTGAGATGTCCCACATATTTTTCATAAAATGTCCTCAAAAGCTTTTATTTTATTATGCCAATCCTGATTGGCTGGTGATCTTGACACCCAAACTTTTAAGCAGCTTGCGCTACAACGCAGCATCAGTTGTTTGGTGTCACTCGTGCTTTTAGACGACGGCGATTGTGAAGAGTTCCAGTCTGGTTCAAGTCACTGAGACGGTTTTTAATGGTCATCTCTTTTAACCGTTAACTCGGGGTTCTCCATTGTTTTATTTTTATTATTATTTTAGACAACTGCTGAATTTGACATCAGCGTAGTAGAGACTTGGACACGTTGGTCTTTAGGGCTCAGTCCTGCTTTAAGTTGAATTTATCTAACGGGTCTTTTTCTGCATCCATGGGGGAATGCTCACCTTCCTCTACACCTAGTGGTGGTGGTGTACCTTAAAGGTACATTTTGGATTCTATTTTCCTTTTACGTGCTGCCTTTGGGATCAATATTCAGAACGTACATTTCCTTTAATTATTATGCTGATAAATATATTTGTTTTAAATTGGCCCCCGGGCCTTGAGTTTGACATGAGCTAGTCCATTCATGCGTCCTCCCTCATATGGTTAAGATAATGAAATTAATGTGACTATCACAAACAATGACTTTGGAGGTGCACTTTTTATTTTTCCATTTAATTTTACAGTATTTGTAACAACATGTGATAATGGCGACACTGAACTGCTTGTTTAAAAATAATAACTTTATCCAATGAACGGGTGATATTTTGATCACCACCAGTGAATTTATGGAGCATCTAACTTTTTTCTGATTTGGCGATAGACCTACTCAGAACAGAAAATGACCTCATGCAGCAACACAAAAACACTGCGCCATCAAAAGCGATGCCAAAAATCCTTTTTAGTCAACCAGCGTGTTAATTATTAAAATTATTTACAGGTTCCTTCCCGTCTTCGTGCCACCGTTTCTACACTTCATAACTTTTAGTCCCCTTTCTGTCACAATCCACTTGGAATAACATCCATGTCCTCCTCCATCGTTTTCCTGTCCACCATTCCTTCCCCATCACTGATTTTCCCAATTTTACTTTCCAAAAAACTTTTCTTCTTAACATATTTTTCCTTCAAGGTGTTCTTTAAAACACCATCGGCTGGACTTTTCAAATCTTAGGACAAAACCTTGGTGACAGCTACACTGTTCAGATGCATCAAGTGTGTCGTGTGAAGGAAACTGACGACTGAACGAAAGCGTCTTGGTGCTCGTGTACTGGACTTTATTGACGTTAAAGCAATCGGTGCACATTAATTATTGATACCACACAATTAGAAAAATCACCGGACACATCAGCATGGTTTGTGAGCGACGAGCTTCAGTCGTTTAAATATACTCGAGTTAGAACATCCAAATCTTTTTTTTGTTTGTTTGTTTTTTGTATCAGAACCAACTTTTTGACCGTTTCTCATTTACGATGTTGAGCATCCAAACAGGAAGGCCACAAATGTTGGTTACTGCAAACTCTCAGGCCACTCAGCAGGAATTTAATGGGTACATTTCTAGGATTATGAGCTTCCAAACTGAAAACCTATTACTCTTAAATATTAATACTTGCAAACCACATGAAGCATTGTGAATGTCTGCTTTAGCCAAGAGTGTAATCAGGCCAGGATGAAACCGAATACTTAAAATTGCTTGGATTCCGACATGGCCTTGATTATTCCCATCCCAGCACAAAACCAAAACAAGCCCATCTAAGAGGTAGAAACGAGCCGTTATGAAACGTTACCATCGATTACACTTGGCTTTCAAATGTTCTGAAGTGTGGAGGATGAGTATTATAACCACTCCTAAAAGATACACAGGACGAGATGAAGCCTGACGAGGGAAAACGTGCTCAGCTGCGACTACGGTCTTTAAAGCACGCGCCCTGCCATGTTTTTAACGCGAGCATGAAATATGCTTCGTTCAGTCGGTCTTTATGTCGATTACAGAGTCAAACGTCCCGATTCACTTCAGTTGAGGCTCATTAAAATTCCTCAGCTCCTTCTTGGGATCAGACGGTTATTTAAGAAGGGAAAACCTGATGCGTTCATAAATAAAGCCGTTTCCTACGAGAGAAGATTCAAATTTGGGAAAAAAAAATTGAATAAAAAACATGCAAAGTGAAAAAAGTAACAAACCTAACAAACAAAAAAAAACATGGTTGAGCCACTCTAGATGACAATAGTTCATGTAGACGATCAGAACAGATCCAAAGAAAACAGCCTTCAGGCAACAGATCGACACGTCTTCGCTCAACGTCACAGTGCAGCTGGACGCGCACGAGGCCCTACGAAAGTTACAAGTTTTCAGTTTAGATTCGTGAGACAAAAAGCAGCCGAGCGCCGCATGGTAGTGGTTACATGAAGCATGGCGTTCAAGAAAAGAAAAGGCGAGTTAAGAAACAAAGGCTGATGCTTCTGATTGGCTGCTCAGTCAGCTTCATCCTCAGACTCCTCCTCCTCTGCCGTCTCCAGCCAAGTGAGCCACTGGTTGACCTGATGGAAGAAAGAGTCAGTCTCACACCAGATGGAAGCACTCGGGTGTCTGTGTGCTACAATATCATAAACAGAATGCCTTTTTGTACTCCTGACTCTCAAACCTCAAGTTTACACGTGTTGGGAATGTACCTGGAATAAAGCTTTTCCTTTTCCAGGGAATTCTTGGGTGACGTCTTCTTTCCACAAAAGGAAGGCTTCTTCTTCAATGATCTCCATATCATAGAAATGAACAAAGTAGCGCAGCAGCATACCTTGTTGGAGATGAGAACAATTTACAAATCACTTTACAGACATGTTACTTTAGGTGAAATCACTGTTGTCAAATATAAACACTGTTGTCAAAAAATAAAAAAAGATCTAGAGTACCTTTAGGGAAGCTGCTGGCATTACAGTGCAACTGCAGAGCGTAGAGGGCGCTGACCTGCAGCTCGGCATGGTCATGCAGGAACTTCTGCATGACGGGTTTGAAGGCCAGCAGCAGCTGCTTCTCCTGCTCCAGCTGCTCTTTGGAGGGAGCTGCCAGCTGATCATCGCCCTCCGTCATGCCCAGCTCCTGGAAGATGTACTGCAGGAAACTGGCAAAGACCACACACATTAGGTGAATGAACAAAACAATTCTTGTACAAAATCTGGATACAGTAGTCTCTTGATACTTCAAGGTTTGACATTCGCGGACTCGCTCTTTCACGGGTTTTCCACACAAGACCGTACAACCTGACACTTTAATATTACTCACGTGATTGGGACGGTACGGGATAAAACATTAACGGGAGCGGGAACCAACTAATAAGACAAAAAACTAAAACAATTAAAAAAAAACTTCAGATAGACGCCACTATTTTGTAGTTTTCTTTCAATAAGCCTACACTGTGACGCAAGTCAAAAGAACTACACTACCCAGAAGCCAACAGTGCTTACAGCCACTGCTTTCTGAAACACAAAGTCAGAAGTAACGATGCATTTATGAAGCTCACAGAAATATCAGGAAAGACAAATAATCCTGAAGATCAATTATCCACGTGCACATCAACCTGGACGGGGCGGTGGGCTTCGTCGCTGCAGGGTGGGTCTGCCGAACCGGAACAGAGCTGCTGGTCTGCAGAGCTGGCGAGTACCCATATAAGAGTTTGCTGTACTGTACAGTACATATACGCATGTTGTTAAAATTATGTAGGTTTAAGAGTTTAGAACATTGTTAAGAACAATGCAAGTGTGGGAAAGGTTTCTAAAGCCTTTATATATAAATACTAAAATAAATATAGCGTTCCTACTTTGCGGTTTTTCACCCATCGTGGTGGTGTCTGGAACGTAACCCCCGTGATAAATCGAGGGACTAATGTAAAGAAACACGTCAACAAGATCACTTTATTTTTTACTGATTTAATCTGTCCATGAATTTGTGTGTTCTTCAAAAACCAGTACTCATAACTAACAAAAACAAAACAAAACAAATATTGCTACCAGTGCCAAGGTTTAGGCCTGTCACGATAACAAATTTTGCTGGGCGATTAATTGTCTCAGAAATTATTGAGATAAACAATAATATTGTTTGAAATTTGACAATAATTACTAATTATTGTCAAATTTAAGAAGAAATGTTGGTTAATTTTATTTTGGGTGCAGTACCTTTTTTGACCACTGGATGGCAGTATAAGACTGAACCGAAGGATGGATAGTGAGGGAGTGAGCAGCGTGTCTCTTTAAGAAAAATGTGAGGGAGTCCCCTTGACTGACATGGGTTGTCTCTCTTCGGTTCTCAAAATGGCGGACGCTCAGTGTGGTTTGAGCTCTTTAACAGAACATTTTTCACACAAAGCTTTTAATTAAAAATCAGTAAACAAGTTCTCAGCTTCTTTTTGCAGAGAAAAACAACTTTTTACACAAAGGCACCAGTTTGAACCATGAATTTTGGAGCTTCGACAAGATGGAGGTTTTTTTCCAGCCGCAGCTGATTTGACCATCAAAGTGCATTTATTAAGGAAAAGTTGGATTGAAACACACTTTTTACTATAATGTTGAACAAACAAACAATTGTTTTTAAGTCTTAATCTTGTTAAAGTCCTCCCGTGCACACTCCCGCAGCCGTCATTTGGCAGCCAATCGATTTTTGGCACAACACCGGCCACATTTCCGGGTCGTCAGCGGTGACGCGTAATAGATGCGACTCATACGGCGAAGCGACATATTTATGGATTTTTCCACTTTATTAGACATGTTTGGACTGATGCGACTTGTACAACGATGCAACGTGTACGGCGGAAAGTACGGCAGCCATCTCACAATTCTCACATTTTTTCACTCAAAGGAACTAAACTGTTTGAAACAGCTTCCAGACGACAATGAGGTCTGACCTTTGAGAAAATGTGCAAAATATATGAACAAGTTCAAAATTCCAGCAACATGAGAGCAAACCTTGCAACTCACAAGAGGATATCAAGAACCCTTGGTAACAAATCACAAACAGCATTCAGTTGCAGCGCAGTCAAACGGTAAATGGACTGAAGCGATTCCAGTCTAATGAAGATACTCAAAGAACAGACAGGGGAGTGTTTAGGCCTTCGTGACAACACTTTCCATCCCTTACCTCGTCATAAGGATGTTGACAAAGCCTTTGTCGGTGTGAAGCCTGGGTGAGATATTGTCTTTGATCCACTTGTAGATGGACTGTGGAGAGGGGTCCGCTTTAATCTGCTTCAGCAGCTCCTTTTCCAGCTTCAGCAACGGGAACAGGAAGCTCAGCCCCTTCCCTTCCAGAATTTCCAGCATGCGGTCCCTGTTCTGATCGATTTCTTTCACCAAGACAACGTTTTTATTAATTACTGGTCTTGTAAATGTTAAAATCGTAGGAGGACGGGGCTTTACCTGGAAGCATCTTCTGCATGTTGACCTTGCTCTGCTGAAAAAGTTCTGTGAACCACTCGCGGTCTTTCAGCTTGGCCGTTTGCTGCAGGCAGAGCAGGAAAAGGGGGAAGTGGGTGCCGTTCTCCAGGGGGTGAGCCAGCTCTGCTACGCTCACCAGCTCTGCGATGATGGCCTGAGCTGCAAACTGGGCAAGGTAGGACTTCACCAAGGGCACGTCCACCTCAATCTTGGGGCACTGGTCCAGGACGTTAAGGAAAGCCTAAAGTTGCGAGAGAAAAAATGTCCGTGTTGAACGGGAATCAAACACCCAACAATGTAATAAATGTCAAATAAACTAATAAAAATGGACGTTTGTGTGCGGAGGGCATGCAGATTCGTTATTGGATGAATGATGTCATCTACCTGCAAGAAGTTCTCTCCGGTGATAAGACCCTCAGTGCCGAGTGCGTGGATCAGAGTGCTGACGTGCTCTTTGTCCTCACCGGGTTGGTCCAGCGAACACAAGATCATCTTGCTGAGCATCTCTGGCAGGAAATGCTTCGGCGCCTTCATCTCTCGCACAGCAACCACAGCCTCAGTCAGGTTCTTAGTGTTCAGGTACTCAGTCATAAGTACCTCCTGAAATGCAGAGGGGGAAACGACAACTCGTTTGTTTTGTTTAAAAAAAAAAAAAAACTTTAGTCAGTGTCCAAAACAGGTTGAGGTTATGTCGAGTTTGTCTTGAAGCAAGCTCTTTCAAATTCTTTAAAAAGTAAAGTTCTTGTGCTCTAATGAACCACATCCAACGATTAAAACCAAAGATTTGTCACATCATCTCTGCGTTCTCCTCCTCATGCGTCACAAACTTGGGAGTCGGGTTGTTGGAGTGAACATTGAACACTTGCACCTAACGGTTTTCTCACCGTCGTCTTCAGAAGTTCTTCCTTGGCAGGAGGTGGCTTCTTGATGGTCTTCTGGGGTTTCTCCTGGATAGGTGGAGGGTTGGTCTTCAGGCCAAGCTGCGGAGGAGGACAGCAAAGATCGGCTCAACGTTTTAGAAAAAGCCTTCTAGTTTAACGACAAATTTAACAAAGTTTTTCAAATCAGTGCTTTAAAAATATTTCTTCAATTGTAGTTTCGCTGCTTTCAATTGTAAACAGTCAAGTGACCCGCCCACCTGTCCTAAAGGAGGGGTTTGAGAGCGTGGAGGTTGGGCGCTGGGAGGCATCAGTGTCGGCATCTGAGGCTGAAGCTTCGGCACCTGGTTCTTGTTGAGCAGGAATGACTGCGCAGGCCTTAAGCTGATCTGCGTGCCACAGAAGAAAGCACAGTTATGCGGTCCTTCAGCATTTTGGATCTGTGCTGTAGTGGCAAGTTATGCCCTCATATTTCATCATTTAAGTCAGCGGACCTGCTTTAAGTTTGAAGATGAGAGGAGGGATAGAAGAGAAATGGTAGACGGAGCAAAGAGCAGGGAAAGACGAACAGCAGGTTTGTTCCTCAGAATAACGCGTCTTTTTAAAATCACTGGGCATCGACACTAAGGAAGTGAAGCAGCATCTAGTCATCACTGCCACTGGAATCATTTCATTTTTATATTTTAAAGGCTGCAAACAGCAGGAAAATGAAGTCTGCAGACATGTTGACAAGTTAGAAACATTAGTTTTAGTTACTTCGTCTGCATTGAGCTGTCCTTTCTTGCTGAAGCGTGGAGGCATGTCCTTGGACTGCACCTGCGACTGACTCGGGTGGTTCTGGTTTAGGAAATGCTGGTTCTGAACCTGTCAAAGTCACAAAAGTATCGAGAAAATAAAGATTTGCCTTTCTTTTCCCCTTGAACATTGCACAATGATTATTATTTATGTTCAAATTGAGCAGGATTACCTGGTTGGTCTTCACAAAAGACTTAGGCCCCGTGTCAAACTGTGACTGTGGAAGAGGTGCAACATGGCTGCTGTGGCCATTGAAGAGCGGGTTGGTGCGATGGCGTCCCATAGTGGGCGAGTACCTGTCTTGAATAACCCCTGGGCCAGTTCCAATCCCACTGCCTGAGGAGCAAAGGACCAAAAGTGATGCAAGTTCAGAGTCCACATAAAACCACAGGTGGACACGCACAAGGGTTTCAAAACCACCTACCAGGCATCTGTCCAAACATGTCAGCCAGTCCCCCGAGAGTCTCCCTGTCCAGCCTCATTCTGTTGGGCAAGAAGGGGCTTTCCAGGAAGAAGTCCATCCTCATCCCTTGAGACATTGGTGCTGGGATGAAAACACCCAAATCCTACACAAACATACCAGTAAATGACTGAATTTCTTTCTTTCTTTAAAGGTGTTCAGTATAAAAATTTGAACCGGCATTGAAATGAGCCTAGGTTTAGTTTTTTGAGGTTCCTGCCAGCAGCAATACTCAACTGCTTCTTTGCATTTCTCGTGTACATGTGGAGCCCCTGACTCACCTTCACTGCATCCTGACGGACTTGGTTAATCGTCTTTGGTCCGTTGTCGATGAAAGCCTTGCGGGGGACCCAGTTGTTTTCTCGCAGTTCCACCGTGTCTTGCAGCAGGAAACGGATCCTAGCAGGCAGCTCCTTGTTGTTCATTAAGGACTGCATACGGCCAAAGTACTGATCCATTAAAGACTGGTGTGAGGGGAGGAAGAGGGAGTAAACAGGTGCAGTTTAAGCAGACTTTAGTTAGTCCAGCTAGTGTGAAGACGACACTCCCACAGACATGGAGGACAAACAAACTAAACCAAGACAAGAGTCTGGAAAAAACAAAAACACAGGCTTAAAATGGCCAATCTTTTGATAGGTGGTGTTTCTGTTAACGAGCCGACCGTTATGTAACCGATGGTCTGTGTATGATCAGTTTCCAAAGAGACCACTTTAACTTCAAACATGCCCCCCGATGGCATCTTTAGCCCTTACCTTTGCTTTCTCGTGGTCGAGTCTCGGCCCCACCGTTCTCATTATCTGACAGAGGCATTCCAGATCCTCCCCCATGTCTTTGAGCTGTACTCTCTTCTTCTTTTCCAGAAGCTTCAAAAACATCGAGACAAAAAGACGAGCGATCACACTGGGAGTTTACGAGTTGTGCAAAATTAAACGACAGTTGAATGCTGCGACACTGAATCTTATCTGAAACTGTTGACTAAATAAACGCAGTCGTTTCAGAAATTATTGCGATAAACGATAATATTGTTTGAAATTTGACAATAATTAGTCATTATTGTCAAATTTAAGAAATGATTGCCAATTTGTTTTGCGTGTAGTACCTTTTTTCGACCACTGGATGGCAGTAGAAGACAGTTTGAACCGAAGGATGGATAGTGAGGGAGCGAGCAGTGTGTTTAAGAAAAATGGGAGGGAGGCCTCTTTACATGAAAACGCAATTTTGGACGGTTAAAACAGATTTTAAAGAGGAAAGAGAGGAGTCAGTGAAGAGCACCGGCGTTGAGCCTTTTGTCGTTTAGTGTCTTCAGTAGAAAGAGAGACACGAAGAAATGTTAAAGCCGATAAATGAAAACGAGGTTGATAATTTTAATTTATCATGCCATTAATTGATTTATTGTTTATTGCGACCGACCAAGCGGAGATGTCATCCATCCCACTTTGGACGGAGCCGCTCTTCTTTCTAGAAATTTGGCTGATTTCGTTTTGTCCTCCAGATTATTGACAACCCAGGGTCCAGTCCAGGAAGCAGAGCTGTAGTCCTCCACACATCTCTGCTGCTTCTCCTCCGTCACCCACCCCAAACGAAACGGTGTCAACTCGCCCACGGCTCAAATAATTTTAAAAACATCAGTTCTAAATATATAAATCATAAAAATCTTATTAAAAACACAGTTACTTTACCAGGACAAAAGAATAAAATCAATAAATCTGGTTTATTGAACATCAGATTTCTTTCCTCCAGGTCTCTGTTAGTTAATGATCTGATAACTGATCATCATATTGATTTATTCTGTCTGACAGAAACCCGTTTAAAACAGGAGGATTTTGTTAGTATAAAATTAATCTACTGCTAATTATTTAAATGTTCATGTTTCTAGAACAGGTCGAGGGTGTTTCAGTCAAAAGACTTCTTTTCCATGCTGCAAGACCTCTCGTGTCTGATGGCAAGAAGAGTAAGAGAACAAGCCCCCCCCCCCACCACCACCACCACACACACACACACACACACACACACACGGAAACCCAACTTTTGATAGGGGCATTTTTAACAAACTAAATGTAGCCACAAACCAAAATGGACGTCTGCACATTGGTTATTTTTGACGTATTGAAGTGACTTTGGGTTAAATTTATTACGACAAATAAAGTTTTATTCTATCAGAGCTGACCAGTGACAGAAGTGTGAACTTACACTACACTGTCAATAAATCAGAAAAACAAAAAGCACAAACAAAAAGGAGCCTACTGTTTTGATGCACTTATGAAGGATAGATTCATGGATGAGGTCGAGTTTGCCAAGTTCCCCGATGAATTTAATGTTGCCAAGCATCTTGATCTTGGCAATGGCCCGCTGCTCCTCCTCCTCAGCAGTAAGAGGGTTGTCATGCTTGTCATAGACTGAGGACAAAAAGAGGAATATTAGATTAGCAGAGACGAGCTGCGATTCATGTTCTGAGACACTGAAATTTGTTTGGTCATTATAATTCAAAAATACAAGAAATAAAGGCTTGAAATATTTCACTCTGTGTGAATGAATCTACAAGTTTCACTTTCTGAAATGACAAAAAACATTGAATTTTGTCACAATTTTCTGTTTTTTAGATGCACCTGTTGATCAAGTAGAATCTCACACGTGGGTTTCATTTAGTTTGCGTTTTCTTGTACGTTCACAAAAGTTCAAACAATCACCATATGTTTGGTGATTATGGTAAATGTTAGAAATTATTCCTTCCATTATACACCGATGTTATATAGCATGATTAAAATACAGTTTTACATAAATCTAATGTTGTACAATCAGAGTATTTTTACTTTAAGATGCATCTGAAGAATTGCAATTTTTTTTTTATTATTATAAATAATGACGACTGAAAACTCAAACAAGTTCAGTCACTGAACTGATGCAGAATCACTCGATCCAGAACGTGCACTACGAGACTTACTTTCAACATTTCTGGTGCGATTTTCAAATTCATCTTGAAGCTTGGAAATCAGCAGTCTCCTGAAGGTCTACAACAAACAAACAAACAAACAAACAAACAATATCATCGTTTGCTGTGGACATGCATGCAAACACGATTAGAAATGTAGTCAGTTTAAATATTTACTGTGCTCTGCTTTTGGGATGTTTGGATTTCAGATGAAGGGCCATCAAAGTTTGGCGCGTCCTCTGCCAAGCGCAGACATAGCTGAGCATAGAGCGAGCTGTACTTTGGCTCTTCTAGGGCTTTGTCTACAATCTAAAACAAAGAGGAACCAAAAAGGTCGTTACAAAAAGTGGGGATGACTCAAAGAGCAGACTGCCAAGTACGGATGAAGAACTACAGGTACATTTAGCAGAGCTCTACAGAATAGTGAGAACCATCACTTACCAGCAAGATGATTCCTTTAAGGACGAGTTTTGAATCTACGCCCACATTCAGGAGCTCAAGGCATAGCTTGTCAAACTTGTCAGGCGTAAGTTTGTTGAGTATGCTGAATGAACCAGAACAAGAGGGATGGATGAGACAGCAAGTTGAAGTCAGATTAAGTAAGAACATACCAGAACTTTGACTAGAGGAACAAAAGTATTGCATATAGCACATTATACTCCATCAACAAACCATCGTACAGCAATCTATAGCAATGGCCCAGACAAGCAACCTTGGACCTTGTTTTGTGACCTCAGCACTGAGGCGTTGAACAGATAATACGACACACTGTCTAGGGTGAAACAAATTTGTATCCAGTTTTGTTAAAAGTATCTTGAACAGATCAGAAGTTATGGTTTGGACAAGCAAATACCTTATTTTAACTTTGACCTTAATTTGTGACCTTGACCTTGGAGCTGGGGTGAATGAAACATTCCGTTTAATGATGAGGAGCATGTGTACGACGTTTTGAAACAATCGATCAGAAGTTAAGGGCGGAACGAGAGAAAGTTTGTGGTCGTATGGATGGAGACTAGGCCTGTCACGATAAATTTTGCTGAGCGATCGTCTCAGAAATTATTGTGATAAATGATAATATTGTTTGAAATTTGACAATAATTAGTAATTACTGTCCAATTTAAGAAGAAACGGTTAATTTGTTTGGAGTGTAGTACCTTTTTTGGACCACCAGATGGCAGTATAAAACTGTTTGAACCGAAGGATGGATAGTGAAGGAGCATGCAGCGTTTCTCTAAGAAAAATGAGAGGGAGGCCCCTTGACGTGGCCGTCTCTCCTTCCTTTTTTCAGTTCTCAAAATGGTGGACGCTCAGTGTGGTTTGAGCTCTTTAGCATAGCATTTGTCACACAGCTTTTAATTAAAAAAAATTAAAAAAAAAAAAATCAGTTAACAAGTTCTCAGCTTCTTTTTGCAGAGAAAATCAACTTTTTACACGAAGGCACGGGTGAAGTTTGGAGCTTCGACAAGATGGAGGTTTTTTTCCCCTGAGGTCGGCCTGTTAGCTTAGCTCGTAGCTTAGCTTCTCAGCTTAGCCGCTTTTAGTTAAAACAGATTTTAAAGAGAATGGGGGGGTTCAGTGAAGAGCACCGGAGTTGAGCCTTTTGTCATCCAGTGTCTTCAGTAGAAAGAGACAGATGAACACACGATAAATGAAAATGAGGTCGATAATTTTCATTTATCATGCGATTAATTGATTTATTGTTTATCGCAATAGGCCTAATGGAGACGACACCATAATACGTCCACTTTTCAATGGGCATATAAAAATTAATAGTCGTGCTTGGATCCAGGTAAAAACATTTGAGATGAAAATGTATGCAACAACTAATGTAAATCAAACACGTGGTAGTTTACATAATAACTTCTCAGCTTGTGCCACATAATTAGTTGCCCGTTTATGACTAGAATCCTGTTGGAAACATCTCAACTTTTAAAATTGTATACATTGCCTGATGGAGAAGCAAACCAGGCTAAGCTGCCTTTAGTAAGCACATGCCATCTTAAGGACCTTTCTCAATTTTAGAAACAACAAAAAAGCACAAGGAACACCTCACTTCACTCAAACACGATTTTAAAAAGGATTCCTTGCATTTTTCTGAAAACACTCCAATATTTAACCGACATTTGATCAAAACAGCTGCTGGGTATTTTCTTGAAATATTGGCTACACTGCTAACATATCTCTGTGCAGGATCAAGATTCCTGAATTTGAACCTTACCCCCTCACTTTCCTGAAGATTGCATCATGTCGCTCTTTTTCGTTGCTGGAGTTGGCATCTCGTCTAGTGCTTCGTGAAGGAACCCATCTCTGAACACTTTGCCCTGGGGCTTTCCCCAGGAACTCGCTGCAAACAGACAAAAAGACCAAGTCAAACAGATTGTGTTGACAATGATGCTAATAAAAACAAAATATAAAATAAAAAAACTGGCATGCACACTGGCAAGTTATTTTTCTGTAACAGAATGCTGGTGAAGACTCTCAGTCCTCCAGGACATGATCAATTCTAAAGAAGAGGGGCCTCATCTGTGAATTAGATTAACAAAGACCTTAAGAAACCCCTACTGTTAAGGTGTGATTTATCAATCTACATATGTATGTGTATCTTATCTCAGCCTTATAACCTGAACCCAACTGACAACTAAAAATGTTGTCAGACAACCAGATTCTATCAAGGGGTTGTCCACTGGATAACTTGGAACATCACCGGATTATTAGCCCTGGTTATTGATGCCATATTGAAATGGACACATCAACGTTAAGGGCATTAAACAAACCTGTTGCCGACAGTCTTGGGATTGTGCTGAGGTGCACCCCTACCACCTCCTCCCCCCGAAGAAGCACTGCAAAAGTAAACATGGAGCACTTTAAGATCATACAACTTAATAAATTACATCTGCATCTTTGACTCACAACAAGCAACATTTTCAGTTATGCTTTCAGGCACTTCTTAACCAAAACAAAATAACCAGTGCAAGTTCTGATTAATTAAAATGTAATGCTTACCATCAAAATGTAAAAAAAAAAGGGTTATTAATCTTAACATTACACATCTGTAATGATTTTTTCCTGGTCTTTATGGAGTAGCACTGAAACTTGAGAGACCGAAAGCAAAGCAAGTCACGTGAACTCTGATAAATATTAGTCCCTAAAAGTACAACTGGCTATCAAGTGGACACAATTTTCAGAATTTCTGTTAAAGAAAGTCTTAAAAAAGGTTCAGTTTCTTAAAACTCCATCTCTATCTTTTAACTGTTTATACTTAGTCGGGTTGTGGAGGGAACGGGTCCAGGACCAGGAGATGACCCAGACATCCCTGTCCCCGAGTCCCCAGAGACACTTCACAGCTCATTCTGGGGGACCCTGACGCGTCCCCAGGCCCGAGAAGATACAATCTCTCAAACCACTTCTGGGTCTTCCCTGGGGCCTTCTGCCAGTGGGATGTGCTCAGAAAACCTCTAAAGGGAGGTGTCCAGGAAGCATCCTGGTCAGATTCCTGAACCATCCCAACGGACTCTTCAATGCAGAGGAGCAGCGGCTCTACTCCAAGCTCCCTCCGGGTGACGGAGCTCCTCACCCCATCTCTAAGACTGAGCCCAGCCACCCTGTGTGAAGGAAGCCCATTTCAGCCGTTCGATCTCCTTCTTTCAATGATCCAAACCTCATGACCACAGGTGAAGGTCAGAACATAGGCAGACGGATCAGAACATCTAGCTTTAAATTTTGACTCTGCTCTTCTGTTATTATCGAACCCAAGCAAATGTTGACCAAAAAGAAATATAATCAACAAAAGTAACAGCAGTGTGCATGATGCGGTGGGACAAAGCACGTCAAACTATGCTTGTGACTGAAAAGTTTTATACTTGAAACATAGTAAAACGTCTACTCGTTAACATTTTAAAACACAATTAGGGCCACAAAAAGACTTGCAGGGTATTTTAATTTGCACATTAACAAGTTCAGACCATGCAAGGTGCAGTCATTAGGAGTGACTTAATAAAGAGTTTACCGTTTTGTTCAAAAGGTACATTAACATGTAAAGGTTGTAGACTCGACTAGATTGTCGAAAACTTCGCCCGCACAGCACATGTAATGCTGTATGAGATATCTGTGACACACTGACAGCTAAAACAATCTTGAGATTTGAAGTGAAATAAATAAATAAATAAAAAATTTCATTTTCCACACGCGCCAAGACTGTAGGATTCAAGGTTCTTTGTCATTCACATTAGGGATGCACGATATCAGCATGGTATCGGACAATATTAGCATTAAATTATTTGGCCATTCCATTAAAATAACTCGCCGATATAAAAGGCGCTGTGTTTGCCTGCAGCGGCAGCACAACGCGATGACGTTGCAGCGGCAGCGCTATGCGATGACGTCACGTGCGCCCACCCAATCTCACAGCGGACAGGAAAATTCAAAATGTCGGCCGTGTGGAAGTTTTATTTTTTGTTGGAGAGGATGTCAGATTCTGAAGATTTATGGACTACGTTGAGCCTCGCTACATCGTCCGCAGTCGGAGATATTTTTCTCATGTGGTACATGAGGTGGGACAAAATTATGTACACAGGGTCCCAGTTACATCCAACAATAGCAAAAATATAAAGTGTAAAAAGAAACAACAAAAACGGATCCGAGATATACACCAAGAAATACGCTAAATGGACACCCAGCGGGACGCTTAAAGATCTAAGATATTTGTTAGTCACTAATGGTGCCAAACATTACTCTGAACAGCAGCAGCACGATTCTCATAGGTTTGGTTTGGCTATAATTTACATGCTTAATGTGAGCACCAACATATTGAATACGCTAAGGAACCATGATACTAGGAAACTGACACAAACCAATCCATCCATTATCTTTACCCACTTCTTCCTTTTGGGGTCATAAAAATTTTAAATCCACAAAAAACAAAAAATCCTACATATCCATGCAGATATTTAAAAAAAAACGAGAACAACTTGGATGTGAACTTATAGGGAGCATATTACAAAACTGAAACCCTCCCACGGTCCAGTGTACATTCATTCAACCTTTATTTATACAGGTTAATCCCACTGAGCATGAGGGCTCATTTACAGGAGAGACCTGATTTCTTAACAAAGAGTGATGACAAGAGTGAATAACGACAACAATAGACAGTCATAAAATAGGCATAGGCATACCCAACCCCCCTTTTCAAAAAGTTTCACAAAGAGAACTGCCTGACAGCCATTTTGAGCATTTCCATTTCCACATCCTGCTTTGTTCTAAGCACTGGAAGTTCTGGCCAGAAATGCTTGCAGAAGGCTAAAGTAGAGGATAAATAAAATGTGTTTTCATGCAAGGCTTTGAGTTAATTCACCTGAAACGAGAAGCACCCCCTTCTGCAACGACACTCTCCACTTTGGCGGCTTGACAATGAGGAATACTCAAAAGAATAATAATAATAGGAGGGGATGGGGATAACGGTGCTGGGGAGGACAAAAAAAAAAGGCAATTAGAACCATTACAGGAACGAGTAAAACTTTTACAGAATGAATGACTAACATAATTGTAAAGCATCCATCCTGATCTATTGTTATCCATGCCTATGTCACAAAAATGAGTTAAGGAGGAAAAGAAAAACTACTTGCATGTGCTGACACATTAGCACATCTCTTTGTGAGATACTAGTAGTTTATAATTTATTACAATAACGTAATAAAAGTCTAAATGTATGGATGTACACAAGCCTCCCTGGCCTGTGTGCATTTCGTTTCCCAACAAAACAAACGGTGCGTCATCTAATGATGGCTAAAGCTACCCGCCTGGATATTAGCTAGCTTGCTATATGAGCCAAAAATTAGCTACATCACTGCAACATTTACATTCTCTCTGTTGAAATTACGACCAGTTTGGCTAAATCACATACGTAAACAGTAAGGGAGTGAAAATAATCGTGGTACACTCCAAATCTAATCTAGGATGTTCTGAGATGGGATTCATTGTAAAAAAAAAACAACAACAATAGGCTGTAAATTCAACGTTAACATTTATGGTAGCCTCGGCTGGACAACGTGACTGACCGCAGTCGCTTTTAGTCGGCTGTGCTTGTTGCTATCCCATTGCAAGGCTGAAAAAAATGGATCTAAAGCCAAATTAGAAGGTTACGTGCCCGTGTGATAAAATGCATTTTCAGTCATTCGTGATATAAATATCCTAAAATGATGCCTACACCGAAAGCATATGCACAGTTTAAAAAGCCATCAATAAAAGTTATAAGCGACGACGCCATTTTCTACTCAAATACGAATCGGCTGCAGCATCTGCCGGCTCCTGAGCTAATAAGCGCTAGTTAGCTCAACACATTAGCTTGTGTAAGCTAAGCTAGCAGAAGCCATTTTGCGTTGACCGGTGAGTTGTTTTTTTTTTTACATAAAAAACGACTACCTTACCTTCACTAAATCAACTTCAGTTTTGTTTTGTTGTGTGACTACCAAATATGAAATAAAAGCTTGTGCAAGAAAAAGGAGTTTTGCAAAGAGTATCAGGAGAGCTACAAGCCGAAAGATGCCCGCACACAATTTAACTTGGACAACCCTGAGCTAGCCGACTGATTGCTTGCACTAGCTAACGGTAAGAGCTCCAGCTATGGCTCCAGTTTAGCTCCCTTATGGAGACGACGTTGGTTACCGTGGGAGTCCTGGCCAATCACAGCAAAGATATATATTTAGGGCGTTACCGTTTGCATTTCTAATCCAATGAGAAGCGACTTCACACAAACAGGACCGCCCTCTTTAATTTTTTTTTTTTACTTTACTAACAACACAAAACACAACAACGTAACAAGATACAAAGACACGCCCTCTTTAAATGACTAACATTCAGATAAACAGAAATATGTATTAGTTTTGCCATTATTAAAAAGTATTATAATTGATACTTTTTCATACAGCTTTTAAATACAGGTTAATCCCATGTTGCAAAATGAGTAACACCTATCAATAGCGGATTCTAAACAACAAAAAATTTTGACTTTTTGAACGAATATTTTATACTTTTGTTATATACGAGAGGTGCAACATAACCTCATCTTCTCTATTTAATTTAGCATGATTATTTTGCTCATGCATATTGCACCTTAATTGGACTGGATCATTGTTTCTTCTCAGATTTTTTTAAATGTAATTTTTATATCAATATTAAGAGATTAATTTCTCTATAATTTGACCTAGTTTTATTTGGTTAATGTTATTTTAAATGTTCAAATTTTAGTAACTTGTGAACATGTAATAATTGCAGGAAAGAAGGAACTGTAAAACATAAAGGAATGAGTATGGTCAGATCAAGGTCAGAAATAAATTTAAATAAAGTTTTTTGTTTATGAATGGCCTCATTAATTATTTTTCAGATTTGATGTTAGCAATGTTTTCAGATATTGTTTGCATCAAACATGGAGCTGGAGAGATATTTTGTTTTATTTTAGCTTCTCTCCACTGGTTCCCTGTTAAGTCAGAATATACAGTAATTTAAAATCTTAAGGCTCTCAACAACCAAGCTTCATTTTACAGTATATTAAAGATCTTTAAAATATTTTCCAAACAGAGAACTGTCAGACTGCAAGTTCACTTCTGTCTTCTACTTCTTTCTTCTTCTTCTTTTGGCTTTTCCCTCTTCAGGGGTCTGTCATCCTCCTCCATCTCACTCCATCCTCTGCATCCTCTGTCCTCACTCCAACGACCTCCATGTCTTCTTTAACTGCATCCCTATATTTCCTCTTTGTCTTTTTCCTGGCAGCTGCATTTCTATCATCCTCCTTTCAATATACCCACTGTCCCTCCTCTGGACATGTCCAAACCACTGTCCCTCCTCTGGACATGTCCAAACCACCTCAGTCTGGCCTCTCTAACTTTATCTCTCAGTTGTTCAACCTGTGCTGTACCTCTGATGATCTCATTTCTAATCTTGTGCATCTGTTTTTAGTAATTTCTCATCTACAACATCAACTCGCTACTGGTTTATGATCGTCACTTACTTTTAGATATTTCATTATCTGCTACCAGGTTTGCAAATTTTGAATACCTGCTGGCCGATGTACCTGTGGGCCTGCTCCGCGTTGCTCACCTGCCTCCCCGAAGACGACGCCTCAGGTGCCGGGGAAAACGTGCTGGGCGGTTCGTGAAGCTTAAAGCCTGCTTTGCACTTTCTCTCCAGCTGACCATCAACATGTCCATCGCTTGTCCTGGCACTTTGTGGATCCTGTCGTGCCTTGTCTTATTCGGTGGGATCTGGTTCTCGCAGTGGGACCCGTTCGTTGCAGTTTTTCCTTTCTTAGGAGGCGCAGGTCAAACTCTAAATTTGAGACTGCTGCTTTGGGCTAAATAAGATAGAACTTTATTGAGCCCACATAAATTGTTGTGCCACAGTTCTCAACACAAGGAATCACAAATGTATACAAAATAACAGAGAATATAAAAATACCAACAATTAAGTTCTAAAACAGGTCAGGTGCAGAGAGGAACATTAAAGTGTTTAATTCTAGTACAAGATTAATTTTATTGTCCTCTGTGCAGAAAGGGGGAGGAGTTGAAAAGTTTGATAGTCACAGGGGGGAAGGACTTCCTGTGTTCTGTGGAGCACCTCGGTGGTTTCAGTCTACGATTGAAGGTGCTGCGGTAAGAGTCCAGGGTGTCATGCAGGGGGTGTGACGTGTTGTTCAGGATCTGGAGCAGGTTCCTCAGCATCTTCTGCTCACACACCTCTGTCAGAGACTGCAGGTCCACTCCAGAACTGAACCAGCTCTCTTGATGAGCTTATCGAGTCTGTTGGCATCAGCTTTCTTCACCCTGCAGCCCCAGCACGACACAGCCTAGAAGAAGATGCTGGAGACCACCGAGTGGTTAAACATCTGCAGCATGGTCCTGCAGATGTTAAAAGACCCGTGTCTCCTAGGAGTAAGTGAGGGCACAGATTGTGGTGTAAAGCGCTTTGAGTATCTTGATTATTTAGAAAGGTGCTATGTAAGTACAGTCCATTTACTATTTAATCTAACTTGACAGTTTTGATATTTACACGCAAACAAGGCAGACAAGCAATATATCAAACTACAATAATTAAATTATACACTTTCAGTAATGCTCATTGTAATCTCCTTCATATGTGTCAAACTCAAGGCCCGGGTGCCAAATGTGGCCCTCGTTGACATCTTATCTGGCCCCCAAGATGATATGTAAAACGCAAAATACTTCTATCTCTTGAACGTTTTCAGTAATCTTTGATTATGACGTTGAAAGCACAACAGAGAACATCAAATGAGACCAATCAAACTCTTGTTGAGGAACCTGCAACCAAGAAAAGATGCTGGGTATCTGATTTGAGTTAATGTAGATTAATGTAGATTCTGAAATTGGCCCTTAGTTTGAAAAAGGTTTTAATTGTGGCCCCCTTTTGTAAGTGAGTTTGACACCCCTGCACTAGATGATAGGTGGTAAACGGACTGTATCTAACTTGAATACTCAAAGCGTTTTACAACACAATCTGTCCACACGCATTCATACAGTACTCTATTACACATCTACAAAGCTAATTTGAGTAAATCATTCTGCAGAGACTAATCAGTGCTTTAGATCACATTCATACTCTAATGGGACACATACTGAAGGCAATGAAGGGTTCAGTGCCTTGCCCAAGAACACTTTGACATGTGACTTCATCTTGGTGGAACCAAGCCCCGAACTCTCTCACTGAAGGATGATTGCTCTAACCACTCAGCCACAGCTGCACCATTTACATAACGACTAGACATTTCTCCTTTTCCTCGTGTTTATTTTACACTCACCATTTACTTAACAGATCACACAAAATCTTTGTTCAAATCTTGGGGATGCAAACAGTGGCCAATCAAGAAATGTTTCATGTTGCTCATAAGGCAACATGATGTTAATGTTTTAGTATTTACTTGTGTTAGCAAGCTGTTTCATGAATGACTGAATACATTTTTAATGAACCGTTGAGAAAATAATCATTGCATGTACAAACAAGGTCAGCTAAAGGAACTCTTCAAACACAAAATTGGCCATAGCACATCAAATTTACAAATATTGAAATTAAATTTGATGTGGTGCGTCTTGCTAGATCTTCCATAATGTTAATTTAAATTTTGAACAAGGTAAATAATTGTAGTTTTCAGAAAAGAATGATCTTAACCTAAAACTGGCATTACAGGCAAAATGCATTCCTGTTAAACATTTTAAGCTTTCAGATGTTTTGTTGACAGGAAACCTGTTGTAAAATGTGCTAAGAGGGTTGAATGTGTCAGCCCACCAGCGACTGAGTAAACTTTGATCTGACTGGACGTGCAGATCAGGCAGACTGATGCATTCAGCAGCCTCATCACCACTGGCTTAAAACTGTATACTCATAAAAAAACAGACATTTTGAATTCTTGAGAAAACAGTGAAAAACTAAAGTGTAGATGTTTATTATTAGTTAA